TACTTCGCCGACGCCCTCTTCCGCTACCACCGCCGCCTTCCTCGAGACCCCATTGATCCTTATCAATTCCCCTCCTCTCTTCGGCATCATCAACGGCCTCTTCCGTCGCCTCCCCTCCCACCTCGCCGATGCCCTCTTCCGCCGCCTCCGCCACCGTCGCCTCCTCTACCCATCCGTCCTTGAGTCAGTTCAAAATCATAACCCTAACGCTTTTATTTTGGAACTTTTCTGTTGAAATTTGTGAAATTTATTTTGATTCAGGTACTGCTGTGGATTCTGGAAGCAAAGCTCTAAAATTTCTTAGGTTGTAGCAAGATGACACCGCTGCCTCCTCTACCCATCCATCCTCGAGTCAGTTCAAAACCATAACCCTAACGTTTTTATTTTGGACCTTTTCTGTTGAAATTTGTGAAATTTATTTTGATTCAGGTACTGCTGTGGATTCTGGAAGCAAAGCTCTAAAATTTCTTAGCTTGTAGCAAGATGAGCAAGTAAATTCATCATCTTCTGATTCTTCTTCTACTCGTCCTCAACAAAATGTGAGCTTTTTACGTATACATTTTGAAAATTTGTTTTTTATTTATTTTGGATGAATTTTGGACGAATTTTTAACTGAATTTTGAAAATTTTTAGTTATGAAATATGATTGAGATGGTTATGTGTCTTTATTGTTTGTTATATGAAGGGAAAAAAATAAAAATTGATATGGGTAGTGTCTTTATTGTTTGATATGAAAGAAAAAATCATTCCTACTTCGGGAAAAAAAATAATTCACTGAGCCAAAAGGAATTTGGTTTGTTATCTTCTCATAACTTCAACTGAATTTTAATGTAATTATAGATATGAAGTTTGATTGAGATGTAAATGTGTCGTTATTGTTTTATATGAAGGAATATAATCTACGATCTGATTGGTTCAATTAGAATGAATTTGGCACCTTCAACCCTTTGAATCATCTGTTCTTGGGAAATTTGTTGGAAGAGTATTAATAGAGTAGTTTTGTTTATTTTTCTTAAACTAGAAAGATACTAACTTTTTTTTTTAGCTTTTATTGCATATTAACTGATTCTGGAGGTATATTTGTTTAGTATTCATTGATACGTAGACATGTAAATGCCAGTCTTTATTGCTTGATATATGAAAGAAAAAAAATTGGTCACCAAAACTTTGAATCAGCAATTTCTTGGTGAATTTATGGAAGAACATTTAATATATGAGAACAAATAAAAATGCTAACTTCTCATAACTTCATCTGAATTTTAAATGTAATTATAGATATGAAGTTTGATTGATATGTAGACATGTAAATGCTAGTCTTCTTCTGAACCCGTTACATTCTGATACCTGGATTTCATTCAATTTTGCTGATTATGTTTACTGAGCCGATTTCACTCAAATTTGCTAATTATAGTTTAACATATTGCGTCGTACGTGCTCATCGAAATTCGATAACTCTAATTGAATTGTAAAGGTAAATTCAATCTCTTTAAAAGGTTTGGTTAGAGTACCATTTGGTTTGGCTAAGGTTGTGACAAGAAAAATGTAGTAGAGGAAGAGAGCTCCTTGATTCTGAACGCATGTTTGCAATTATCCATGAATGTTATTTTCTCAAGTATTCATTGATATGTGATCTAAGAGTTTATTTTGTAATGTGCAGGAGTTGGCTTATTAGATATTAGATACCACCCATAAAATTTTGTAGTCATCCAGATAAGCTTCCTAATCCTGAGTCAAGAAAACTATTTGTTAAGACTGCAAGTGCCTACAAAGTATGGATTTGATCCTTTGTAGTTTTTATATAATTGAACCACTCTTATTCATACTTTTTTGCTTCTGATTTATGTGCATTCAGAGGATGTAGAGCATACTTGCAAGTGATTATTACATTTTAAATCTCTAATTACATGATTATCTTTCAGCTCTATTTGTGGTTTGACATGAGATCCAATGTGAAGGTAATTTCTCTCTTTGTATCTTTTTCGTAAATTTAGTATTAAAATTCATTACTCAGCATCATGTAAATAGAAAATTTTGTATATGTGTAGCTGAATTCTTGGGTATTTCCACGAGCGTTCCAGCATTCTTGGACCCCAATCTCACTCCTGCACAGCTCAAACATGGCGTCAGTTTCGGATCAGCCTCTTCAGGATATGAGAATTAACATCCACAAGTACATTATGATAATCCCCAATCTCTTAATTGCCCTATCACTTTAGTAGTTTGTTTACCCTTGTGTTACTTGTATATTCTTGCAGATATATTTGTAATATATCATTCTTGCTAGGATATTTTTATTAATAAGTTTTAATTGGTATAAATCGGATTAGATTAGCATAAATCCTATGCACCCCCCATCTAGGTTCCTTCCTTAGTGGCATTAGGGTGTTTTTCTTCAGGATATGAGAATTAACCTCCACAAGTGCAGTATGCTAATCCCCAATCTCTTATGGTTTCAAATTAATCAACATTTATTAACAAAACCATTTAATCTAGCTCTTCGCATTTTCGCCTGCAGGGTGTAATATCGATGGCCAAACAAGTAGACTACTTGAAGCATTACAAACTCCATCTGAGAAAATTATTTGGTCCTGCAGAAGCACAGAAGATTACTGAAGATGCTATTGTTGTGATAAGTGCAGGCACCAATGATTTCATCCAAAATTACTACTTTTACGATAACAGATCGAAATAATTCACTGAGCCACAATATGAGGACTATCTGCCCTCTCTTATTTCTGAATACATCAAGGTAGTTATTTAATTCCTCATCCTTCATTCCCACTCCGTGAAAAAAATAGGTAAATGATTTTTTTCCAGAAGTACTGATAATTTTAATATATAAAGGTTCACAACTTCAAACTTTTGGTGTAGAGCAACTCAGGCTTGATTCACACGAACTATGAATATAAGACAGATTTAGAAAAGATTTCAATGCGTGAATTAGGATTGCGAGCAACTTCAAACTATAATAATGTTTATGCTTGGGTTTTGTTTTTAATCATATTTTGATATGGGTTTTGTTTTTAAATGGTGAATTAGGCTTGCGAGGTCGAGTTTCAGGTCGGGCCATATTTATTCTTGGAGGGCATCTTATGTTTATGCTCATGGTTTGTTCTCTACTCCCTTTTTATTAGGAATATTTTTATGTTTACTTTTTTTGGTATGTGTGCATTTATTTGTATTTGAAATGCCCTCTATAATAATGGGTTTGCTCCATTTTTCTTCAAGTTGATTTATAGGAACAAACTATAATAATGTAACATTACAATACCTCTATGCCTATATATTCATGTATATGGTTATTATATTGAATATTAAGATTTTCACCCACTCCTACATTAGATGTTTAGTTGTAAGATGCATTTGAATGTCTTATTTTTCATGATTCATAATTAGTGGGTGTTGAAAATCTAAGAATCCAGGCATGTAAAGATACAAATTGGATTTTGATGGAAGGATGGAACCTAAGTAGAGTTTCTGTATTAGATTCTGATAATTGTTACATATTGAACTAAAGTTTTCTTTTATCCATCTTTCTTTTAGTTGTGGTCGTGCTTGAAAGCTCTAAAAGAAAGACAAAAGGAGTAATATTTTCAAATCATTCAATTTGCTTCATCCGAGAGCTCTACTTGCTTGAGCTCTACTGCCAAGACAAAAGGAACCATGCCAACATAAAGGTAAATGGAGCAATAGATCGATCTTTCAATTATTTGAGCGAAACTAAGGTGTATCCAATTAATTTTCACCTGTTCTTTTGTATGTTTTGGGTTTTTTTCTTACATAATGTGTTGTTTCCAGAAGTGGTTTAATATATAGTTTTGTTTAGTGGTGAAGTCCTGATTTTTGTGATTTTATAATTATCTATTTGATATTAGTATAACAAAGATTCCTCTATAATTCTCAGGTGATCGAAGTTAACCATATCAGGTATCTAAATCTACGAATTTTCAGGTGAATCACTCATTTTGAACAAAGTTCAATCCTGTTTTTTTTTATCCAAAAAAAATTTTAAGTATCAGATTTTTCATGCGCTAGAGATTGCAGAGTTGATTGAATCTCACAATCTTAAGTATCTATCTTCTTTAATCGATAAATAATTATAAATGTTGTGTCAAGCTCATTTAGTTTTAACAAAGGTGAATCATGTCTTTGTCTTTACTTTTTCCCTTTTATTTTATTAGAAAATTAGAAAATATGAAGACTTAGATGATTTGATGAATCAATATCAAAGATGACATCTAATATGGGGGAAAAGTCTTCAAACCTGTATTAGTTACGCTTCTGAAGCCAAAGGTGGAAAAAACATTCAAAATAGTCCCCTAAAGATCAAAAACATATAAGACTATGTCAATGAAGTTAATGGGATCAAAGAAAATTCATAAGGGTATAGAAGATACTTATTTATTGATTTATACCAATTGTTCATTATCATAGACATATAGTTATTAACAGAATGGTAAATTGCTTCTCTCTTCTAGGCAATTTTTTTTATATATAATCTCCAAGCTAATTTTTCTCTATGATGGTGAAAAACCTATAAGACTATGGGCGAGACAACCACTATGCACAGTTATGATTCGGAGATGCAATACCTCTTCAATTTCAGGTAAACCAATTACTCTATTTTACATGTAACTAATATTTTTTATGACCGGTTGATTCTGTTGTTTTGTGATGAATTATTATTCTTAGAGTGCAAATGAAATAGTAGTTATTCTGAATCTAGGAGTAGGAGCTTTCTCATTCTTTGGTCAATGCTTCCGAATAAAACCCTATTTTTTGGGTTGTACCTGGAGTGCTCAAAAGATGAGTTTGTTTCTCATAATAAAGAGTGAATTCTCTGCATTGTTGGTCTCTATCACTGAACGTCGATTAGGCCTCGGGGTCAAGATCCATTGATAATGAAAATGCTGGAAAAGTATATCTTTTCATTTAGTATCTGTTTAAGGTTCTCTATGATTAGATGTGATTGTGCAGACTCATTTCTATCCTTAAGTAGTTTATTTGCAAATGAGAATTTTAGATTTATATATTTGG